CCCTCGCCCCAACCCTGCCCCCTGCCCCCTGCCCCCTGCCCCTCTCCATCATCGGTGGCCCCGCGCGCAACCTATGGCCTATGGCACAACGAACAGGCAACAGGCAATGCTTCGTTGTCCCCTGGTAGGTTGGTAGGTTAGGGCATGCGGCGCGCGGCGTGCGGAGAGCGCTACAGATGTTTCGGAGGGGGGGGGGGTGCGACGTGAGAAGAGGGAAGAGGATGCAGGGGGCAGGGGGCAGGGGGCAGGGGGGCAGGGGCAAGGGGTGAGAGCAACAACATAGGATTGACATCGGCTCTGCTGCTCGCTGCTCGCTGCTCTTGCACGTGCCTGGTGCCTGGTGCCTGGTCTCTTGCGCTGTACTCTTTCCTTCGCCCTTTGCCCCCCACGCAACTCTGCGCAGCCCCCTGCGACGCCGCGGGCCCGAGCGAGCAACCTATTGCGCAACAGTGGCCGCCGCCGCCGACGACAGTCGACGACGACGACAGACGACGACGACGAAGACCGACGACGACGACGACGACGGACGTCGGACGACGACTCGACGACGACGACGGACGACGACGACTGGATTATCTCAATACTCGAACCTCGAATCAGATACGAGACAGAGGAATAAGCCACTGGCCACTGGAGGATAAACAGGAGGAGAAGGGCGAGGGGCGAGGACGTCGGACGTCGGACGAAGGGGAGAAAACGCTATCACGTTATCCGTAGCCACTTTCGGGTTACAGCTTACAGATCCTCCGAGGAGCGACGAGGAACCTCCTCGCGCGGCCGCGCGGCGCCACGCACTCCGCACCCTGATGTCCCAGCGGGCCCCGCGCACTCCGCCGCCGCGGAAGAAGCGCTTCTTCGCGCCCGCGCCATATGTCAGCAGTTCGTCGGACGACGACGAGGCGGCGGCCGCCGCGGACGGCGCCAGCGCATCGAGGACGGCGGCGGTGAAGTACCTCAAGGCGAAGGCGAAGCAGCGGCCCGGGCGGCCCGAGGCGCTTCCGAAGGTCAGAGGACAGAGAACTATGCACATACACCGATTCTTGCCAGGCCCATCCTGAGTCCAGGATCGGTGCATGCGCCCTCCTGCCTTGGCCAGGAAAGCATATGCACCGATCCTGGGCCCAGGAAGGGCCTGGCCAGAATCGGTGTATGCGCGTAGTTCTGTTCGCAGGCGCCGCAGACGCTTGGCATCCAGGCGCCTGCGTTCGGGCATCAGGATCAGGCACCGCAGGCGCCGCAGGCGCCCTTGCCCTTCCGATTTCCGAAAGTCGCGGTGGCGTACCCGCCCCCGCAGTTCCCGCGCGCCGGCCTGCGCTGCCCGCGCGCCGGCCCGTGCTGCCCGCACGCCGGCCCGTGCTACCCGCGCGCCGGCCCGTGCTACCCGCCCACCGGCCCCGGCCCGAGGCCGCCGCCTGGGCCTGCCCCAAAGGTGGCCCCGCCGCCGCGGCGGCAAAGTTCGGCGGCGGCGAGCTCGACGAGCGCGGCTAGCCGAGTGCGTCGACGCCGGCGCCAGTGCGGCTGGCGGTCAAGTCAGCGGTGGTGGCGAAGATGGCCCTCGAGATGGCCCCGCCGCCGGGGCACCAGCCGGCGCCGCAGCCGCGGCCTCCGCCACCGAAGAGGACGAGGCCGCCGCCGAGGGCTCCCCAGCCTGAGCTCGTGACTGAGTCTGAGCCCGAGGCTGGCCCGCCGCTGCTGGCTCCCAGGCAGCCTGCGGCAGTTCCTGGGCCAGCTCGTTTCGTGCCCAAATTGTTGCACAATCCGTGCGAGGAGGAGTTCCCGGAGTCGACCTGTGAAGACCTCGTGGCGGAGCGCTGGCTGTGGGCGCGCGATCGCAGGAACCAGATGGTCTGGTCCCAGGGGCGCAAGCACTTCAACAGCGCCAACTGCTTGGTCTTGGGCCTGGGCGCGGAGCGTAGGCGCGCCGCCGCCGCTGACGAGGCAACGCCGCCGGCGGAGTCAAGTGGGCCGGCGGGCGGCGGCAATTGGGCGTCGGACTTCAGCCGCTTGCCGCCGGCGCCCGCCAACCACATGTAACATGTACACGAAGATGGGCGCCAGCACGTTCCTGCTGAACATGGTCACTGACGAGGAGGTGGAAGTGGTCGCGGAGGCGGAGGAGGCGAAGGCGGAGGCCGCCACAGAGGAGGAGGAGGCGACCCAGGAGGAGGCGGACGCGGCGACCATGGAGGAGGCGGACGAGGCGGACGACGGCGGCTTCTGGGCGAAGAAGGAGGAGGGCGACGAGATCAAGGACGAGGACGTGGTGAAGAAGGAGTTGAAACTCCAGGAGTTGAGGAAGAAGGTGAGGAGGATAAAGCTCACTGATGGCCCAGCCGGTGCCTTGACATGAGGCACGAGGAGGCTTGCCCGCGCCTAGCCCGCGCCCCGCCGACCGCCGAACGCCGACGACGACGGTGGGCGGCGGGCGACATGCGACAGACGACAGACGACAGACGACAGACGACGACGCCGACGACGACGACGACGACGACGACGACGACGACGACGAACGACGACGACGACGACGTCGACGACGACGACGAACGACGACGCCCGTAGTTATCGTAGTTACGCGTAGTTAGGTGCTGCGGCAGTGCTGCACGCTACACGCTGGCCGCCAGACCGCCGCCCGCCGCCCTCCGCCCAGCGCGCAGCACCCAGCGCAGCACCAGGAACTAGGGGCGCGAGGCGGCTCAATCGCCCAACATGGCCAAGCAGGGTCTCGGCGGACGGCGGAAGCTAGCTCGTGGCTGAGGAGGGGAAAGGGAAGGGGGGGGGAAGGGGGGGGGGAGGAGGGAAGGGGGGGGGGGGGGAAGAGGAGGGAGGAGGGAGGGGGGAGGAAGGAGAAAGGAAGAGGGGAAGGGGAAGGGGAATGAGGGAGAGGAGGGGAGGGGGGAGGGGGGGGGGGGGGAAGGGGGGAGGAAGAGTGAAGAGTAAGAGTTCGACGCAATTGCGGAAGCTGGCAGTGAAGTGAAGCTACGATGATACGATGAGGTTTGGTGTCTAGTCTGGGCTCCTCCTCCCTACTCCCTACTCCCTAGTCCCCTCCTCTCCCTACTCCTTACTCCCTACTCCCCCTCCCTACTCCCTACTCCCTACTCCCTACTCCCCTCCTCTCCCTCCCCATCCTCCGCCTCACCTCCTCTTCCCCGTCCACCATCAACATCATCGACTCATCGCCATCGCCCTCTTCATCTTCCATGATCCTCCTCATTCCCTCCCTCGCAGCGGACGGGGGCGGCCTCCGGCGCCGCTCGCCGCAGGCCGCAGGCCACCGGCCAGCGCCGCGCCAGCGCCGCGCCAGCGCCGCGCCAGCGCCAGCGGCCGGCGCCGCGCCTGCCGCAGGCCCCGGCCCCCGCCCCCCGCCCCCCGCTGGCGCCGCCGGCCGGAGGGCAGCAGGGGCACGGATGGGAGAGGGAGTAGGGAGGGGGAGTAGGGAGTAGGGAGGGGGAGGAGGGGGTAGGGAGTTGGGGGGGGGAGCAGGGAGGGGGGGTAGGGAGTAGGGAGTCGGGAGGGGGAGTAGGGAGGGGGAGTAGGGAATAGGGAGAGGTGGGGAGTAGGGAGTAGGGAAGAGTCAACCCTCAGCCCCAAGCCACTGTCCTGGCCCGCGGGGCCCTGCGCCTCCCTAACCTGCCCGCTAGTATTGTCCCCCATATTCTCGCCGCCCTCTCTCCTCTGTCCCTCCCCTGCCTGCCCCCCAGGCCCCCAGGGGCTGGACCTTCCGGCTCGGCTCGGACGCTCCAGCTCGGACTTTTCGGCACGGACGTTTCGGCTCGCGGGTCGCGGTTTCGGCGCGGTGGGCGGGGGCTCGGGGCTCGGGGCTAACGACGACGACGGCAGCGGCGACAACGACGACGGCGGCGACCACGCGTTGAAGAGAGCCCCCCCCCTTTCACAACTGAGCAACTGAGAGACTGAGAGTCTCGTTTTTCGTCTTCGTCGTCGTGCGTGGAGACTGAGAAGAGAGACTGAGAGACTGAGAGGTGGAATTTTCGTCGTCGTCGTTTATCGTCTTCGTCGTCGTGCGTCGTGCTCATCGTCGCAGGGCGGGCTATGGGGGTAAGAGGTAAGAGGTAAGGGGTAAAAGCCCCGGGAGGGTCCAGGGGCACCAGGCAGCAGAGGGTTCGTCGGGGCTCGATTGTGCGAGGACGTCTCAAGCGAAACTATATTTTTTCTGAGAAGCGGGCTCAACATCATTTAAGTTACAATGTGTTTTTGAATACCGTCGATCGCACGAGGCCCCGAAGCCCGAAGCCCGAATCCCCAATGCCGGAGCGCGCGACAGCAGGTGGTCAGCGGGCTGCGCGAGAGAGGAGAGAGGGGGGAGGGGAGGGGAGAGGGGAGAGGGGGTGGGCCCCGCTGTCCGCTGGAGCCCCCGCGGGGCCCTCCGTGCTCCGCGCGGCCCGCGCTGGGCCCCCCGCCCCCTGGAGCATCTCGGGCCCTTGGAACTTTTAATTGTACCAATCTTGGGCCCCTGAGGGCCCTTTACTTGTACAAGTCTCGGGCTCTTTAGTTGCACAATCTCGCCATCTCGGAGCTCGGAGTCCTGAGCCCTCTTAGAGCCTTCTTGCCTCTTGCTCCCAGGATACGACCAAACGTAAATGTCCTAGATGTGGAAAACGGACGACGGACGCCTTCCGACGTCTCTGCGCATGATTAAAATCCCTTCACGGGCCTTCGATGACAAAGATATGGAAGTCAATGGCGATGGACTGGCGGGAGGCCCCTGAACAAACTTGCAGCGCCTAACCCAGAATTGCCCCCTGATGCACTGGCGGGGCGCCGCTAGTCGCGCGACCTCGCGCTGCGCTCGGCCGCGGCGTCCTCGTTCGAGCGTTTCGTCCAGTTCTCCTGCGGGCCAGCGAGGGCGGCGTCGGGGATCTTTTCATCGTCGTGTCGTCGTCTGTCGTCCGTCGTCGTCTTTGTGTTCGTCGCGTCGCCCGTAACCATTTTGGTTCAATGTTTACGCGAGCCGCGCCCGCGCCCATTGGCTAGTGATCATGGATCCACATGGGCTGCTCTGCGCTGGCGAGCTTTGGTGGAGGTGCTCCGAGGAGCACGACGCCAAGAGGCAGCGGCGCCATGCAGCCCAGCCGTGGGGCTTCTCGGACTCCGAGGACGACGACGCTGGCCAGGCCGGCCATCGCCCTGATGGGCACGAGGGAGCCACGAAGGGCATGGCGGACACGAAGGCGGCGGCGACGAAGGGCATGGCGGACACGAAGGGCATGGCGGATGCCATGGATGGCGGACGCGAAGGGCATGGCGACGAAGGGCATGGCGGACACGAAGGGCACGGCGCCACGAAGGCGGCGGGCGCGAAGGGCATGGCGACGAAGGGGATGGCGGGCATGGCGGACACGACGAAGGGCATGGCGACGAAGGGCATGGATGGTGCAAGCACGGCTGTTGCGTCGGCGGCGGCGACGGCATGTCAGACCATCAGGTCGCCCAGCAATGCCTTGAGGCGCAACGACTTCCAGGGCGAGGGCGAGGTGCCGTGACGCATCCTCTTGTGGCGGAATGCGCGCGAGGACGCAGAGATGGTGCTTCGCCAAGCTGAGGAGTCATCGATATACATCAATGGCATCTCGCCAATCCTGACTCCTTCTATCCACAACCGTGCTGGGAAGTATGAGCTGTTCTCTCGGCTCAGGCACGGGCTGCGCCTGGCGCAAGAGCACCATGGCGGAGATCACCATGGCATCGCCTACATCGGCAGCACCTCGTGCCCAAGATGGCGGTGGGAGGGCGGCTACTCGTGGCGGGATGATCGTTGCCGCGCCGAGTTCATGGTGGGCCATCGGTGCAAATGGGGCAGGATGCTGGTGGTCGCCAGTTTTCCTGCTAAAGAAACGGCGGAAGCCGAGCGCTTGGCCATCCAGTGGTTTGATCACTCCGGGCGCATTACAAATCGCGCGATGGACGCGCGAGGGCTTTGCATTCGCAATTACGCGTACTCGTTTCTTTATGTGTGCTATTGAATTCGAGGACATCGCGGGTTTCTGATACCGATGAAAAAGATAGCATCTCCTCCGCCGTCCTCCTCCAACCTCCACTCCACTCTCAAACCCTCGTCCCTCCATCCTCCTCAGACCTCTAACCGCCTATCTTCACCCTCCTCCAACCTCCAACCCTCCGACCTCCAGACTCCAACCTCCAACCTCCAACAACGACATCGACGACGACGAAAACTCTCGACGATTATGGGGGATTAAACAACAACGACGACGACTTTTGGCGGATGCGATGATGCTATGTTGCTGCTGCTGTTCGCTGCTCAACCAATGACCAATGCTACTGCTGCTGGACTAGGGCCCCCTAAGCCCCAGGGCGCGCCCAAGGCAGGCCGCCGTCGCAGAGCACAGGGCACAGGGCACATGGCACGTAGCCTCCCGCTGCGAGAGATGAAAAGAGGAGAGGCCAAGAAGATTGGGAAGCGTAGGCATATGTCTGGGATCTGGGGTCTGGGGTCCGGGGACTGGTTGCGCAAGACAGGACGCAGCCGTCTCGTTCTAAGGGCTAGAGGCTAGTGGCGGCTCAGCGGGCCCGCGGATCCAGGCGCCACGTCGGCGCGCTCATCATCCAATAGGAAACGCAGCCCATTGATACCACGTGCATGCCATTCCCCATGAGCAGCCGGCGATGGCTGAACGACACGGCGTTCAGGTCGTGAGGGTAGCATTTGATGGCTGATTTCGGGACCACGCCCGGAACCGGCCAGCTCATGGCGATCCAGTGTTCCTTTGGGACCAACAGCCGCTCCCTGACAAGGTCCCAAAGCAAGCTGCCCTTGGTCAGCCTAGGCATGCGGCTAATCCGCGTAGTGTCGAAGCCTTCGGTCACGTCCAAACTGACGATTGCGGCTGACGCGCTCCAATCGAAGCAGTTCCCCGCATCGTCGATCTGACAGTATCCTGATTCGGCAGCGTTTCTCTTGGCGAACGTGAGCCGCTTCCGCTCGCGCGGCGTCAGCACGTCCTACCATTTTGCATGGCCGACCTGGATGCCGAACAGACTGTTGCGCTCCAGGATGCTGGCCATGCAAGCGTCTTGCAATTCCTGACTGCCCTGCAAGATCATGTCGAGGGAGTTGGGCTGGTTGATGCATTTCTCAAACGTTTCCCTAAGATCGCTGCCCACGACCTCCAGCGGAGATTCCACCATATTCGCCAAGACGAAGACGCCGAATTGGCGCTTCCCACTCGAGGGGGAACCAGCGTCGCAAGGGGCAAACTCCATAAACTTCGCAGTGTACTTGGGGCTGAGAATGTTCAGCAGCAAGTCGGCATTGAAGCCGGGCACGCACGCCTGCTGGATCGCGTCTGGCCCATCGTATCGGGTCGAATACGCCCGCGCCAACCTTGCAGGCGGCGCGCGGCAAATGCGCGCATCACGGGCCTGGAGCCCCGAAACCCGAACATCGCCCCAGACACCCAGCCAGACGCCAGACCCCCAGGCCCCAGGTCCCGAGCCCCAGAATCGACTCGATAACTCGCGATGCTGCTCGGCGCAATGACAGCGCGCCGCAAAGCCTCAGCCCTCCACTCTCCGCCCTCCGCCCTTCGCTCCCCAGCCACATCGGGTACGTCGCAGGGTCAAACAAGCCCTTCTTTTTGCTCTGATTGAGGGGGCTCCATGGACAGCATGTGTTGCCAGCAATCTCCACCCAGGTCTCCTGCTCCTGGGGGTGCTCCGCTGACGTACTCGGCGCTCTTGGCGAGGCCGGGCACTCCTTGCCGCAATTCGCGCACTCGCACTTCTCCCTCGATACGTTCGCAAGCGCACTCGCGCATCAAGCCTCAGGCGGCCCTGACTGTGAAGGAGGTCTGAGGTCTGAGGTCTGAGACTGCCATGATTGGGCTGCCCGGGCAAGAGGCTGGGCAAAGCCAACCGCGTGTCTGGGCTCTGGGCTTTCACAGTCATGGCCACCTGGGTCCGCGAGCGCCTACAGCCTACACTTACCCACGATGACCTGAAGGTGGCTTTCTCCAAGCGGTTGCAGATCGAGGTGTGCATGTCGTCGCAGAGGCTTTGCGCCGCATCCTTGTATATATCGAATGTGATATCGCCTTGTTTCGCCTGTTGCAAGATAAAAGCATTACCCGCGAAGGTGGTATTGACGATGTGGTCCAGATACGTCTGGTCATCGTCGTGCAACCTATCCAGAATGTCGCCGAAGATGTGCTGCGGCTGGTGAGGGCCAGACATGGGCGTAAGTAGATATTGCTGGACGTTGCCCTTGTCGCAGGCGAAGTGCACGCGCCAGCAGCGGTCATCGTGCCCGCAACACTTCTTCGCGTGATCAAACGCCCTCCCAAGGGCAAAGCTGCCAGCGCAAGTCCCAGCATAACTTTCCGTAATCACGATGTTCTGGGAGGTGAAAGTAGACAGCATGCGACGCGAATGGTGCCGCTCGCATTGCTCCAGGAGGCGGGGCTCCCACATCAGTAGCTCGACCAAGTCGGCTTTCTCTCTTTGCAGGTTCACGGTTGTGCGAGACCGGCTGCGCCTCCTCTGCCGACCTGGACTGCGTCCGCTATCGCTCCCACGTTGGGTGGGCAGCATGAGATATGGAACAGAGGTGATAAGGGGGTGAGCGCCGGCCGCCGGCGCCGTCGCCAGCGTTTTGCGCGCGCAGATGCGCGCCTAAGCCAAAATGGGCTCATGCGATGACGGTGGTGATGCTGATGTGCTGATGTGCTGATGTTACGAATGGCGACTGGCGACTGGCGACGATGGCGACGTTGACGGCGATCGGCGATGGCGCTGGCGTGCTGCGTGCTGGGAGCTGGCGATCACGACGGTGGCGACCCTAGGGACCTATGGACCGTGCATCGAAAACGTGTTCGGCTAGTTGTCGGGACGTCCGGGGACCCCCTGGCCCCAGGGGCCGCGCGTCGAAAACATTGGAGCGCGCGGATGTCCGGGGAAACGGGAACCTCACACCTCACGCCCTCATCCGTCCTCCGCTTACTCGCCCTCCTTGTCCGTCTCCTCCGCGTTCCCGCCTCCTCCCGCCCCCCCCCTCCCCTCCCCCCTCCCACTCCCCCTTCCCCCACCTCTCTCCCCTCTCCCCTTGCCCCTTGCCCCCCTTGGGGGCGGTGGCGACCAGGACCGGCATCTTATGCTAGCCGATTGAAGTGCAACGATGAACGATAAACCCTCCTGATGGATCGAAAATCTGGGACGCCACAGCCAGGGCCCGCCGAGTTCGCGGCGTCGATCGTCGATGACAAAGCATGTCTGAGACGACCTCGCGGCGAAGTCAAATCGCGACTCGAGCGACCCGTCAGTCGACGAGCAGTTGCCCAGGGCCCAGGGCCCAGGGCCCGGGAGCATGTGCTAAGTGCGGGTTGCGGGGGCCCGACCGCCCGACCGCCCGACCCGATAATTCATCAGCCCCGTCCGCTCGCGAGAGAGGCGATTGACAAAAGCGAGTCCTCCTGGGAGGTAGCCGACGCGCCCGATGATGCCGATGTTGCGCCTGGGCGGGGGGCGGGACGCGGGGCCCTCCCTCTCTCTCTCTCTCTCTCTCTCTCTCTCTCTCTCTCTGTCTCTCTCTCTCTCTCTCTCTCTCTCTCTCTCTCTCTCTCTCTCTCTCTCTCTCTCTCTCTCTCTCTCTCTCTCTCTCTCTTTCTCTCTCTCCCTCTCTATTTCTCGACCCTGGCCCCCCGCCTGCGCACGCATATGGTTCACAGTATGTTTTCCATGATATGTCCATGCGCGTGCCTGTATGAATATATATATATATGCCTGCGTAACATAAATGCACATTTGCACATATATGTATACATGTATGCATATATGTATACTTTTTGCATACACATACTAATCACGTATACATGTATACATGTAAGACAACCATTATAATAATCACGTAATCAAGAATACTTTTTGCATTCACATAATAATAAGGCGATCCTGTATAATATACATGTATATGTATAGACAATCATAATCACGTATACATGTATGCGTACTTTCTGCATGCACATACGTACACGTATCGATCTACAACCATGCATACCGCTAATATCAAGCACGGATTGCCAGATAGACCGCCCCGAACAACCACGCAAGACAACGCAACATCCCAATTCGCCATGTTGCGAGCCCGGGGCGCCTGATGCACCCTCGTCACACGACGGGGGCGCGATCGGCGGCGGCGCGCTCTCATCGTTGTCGACGGTGATGACCTCGCCGGCCCCCCGAGCCCCAAGCCCCAAGCCAGAAGCCCATCCCCGCAAACGCGGTGATCACGTGATCCCGCGTTCCGGGTTGCCTCAATAGCTTCGTCGGTCGTCGGTCACTCGCTAGCTGACTCTTAATCCTAGCTTCCGAACTCCCTAGCTCCCTAGCTCCCTCCTGGCCTCCTGGACTCCAGGCGAGACTCGGCTCCCCGCTCCCCGCCCCAAAGACCAAGTTCTTCTGATCTTGCTCCAGTGGAAGCATGGGCGCCGGCTGCGTCATCTCCCCCATGCGGCCAGCAGGAATTATCGGGAAGCCCTCCTCGTCGATGGGCAGCGCGCCATCGGGATCTTCGTCTCGGGCCAACATCTCACGTTGGCTCGCCTGGAGATCCGCCCAGGCATCGTCTGCGTTCTCGGCGTGGAACGAACGTGCGGTAACCTCGCCATCCCCCGCGAACTCTGGCGGAGTCGAAGGGATACGAGTTAGTGTCCCGTTTGGCAGGGATTCGGTTGGCGTCCGCGGAGTGATGGCGGGTGTCCCGTTTGGCAGGAATTCGGTTGGCGTCGGCGGAGTGATAGTGGGACCCCTGACTCGCTCGCCTGTCACCACCGCGTCGCCCCCACTAGCGGAGCCATCTCTGCCGGGCGGGGTCTGGATGAGCCGCTGACTGGGCTGGATCTGGACGAGCTGGTTGACGCGCCCGCAGCATCCCCTCCCCCCCCCCTCTCCCCTCTCGCATCTCGCCCTCCCTTCCCTCAGCCCCCAAGCTCAGCTGCCCCTCTCAGCTACG